AGTTCCTCCAGATTCCAATGAGAGTTGTGCACGTGAATCTGAAGGCAGAGTACAGCCAGCAGTATGGGGAATAGATGTAATATGAGAAACTCTCATGCTATATTATTATAGTCTGAATTGTTTCCATCATTTTGGGTTAAGTAATTCCCCACTATCCATCTCTAAAGTGCAAACAGTACAGCCTTGATGTGCCCCAGGGAAAGGAAGCAAACCAGCCTTTGAATCTTTACCCAACCTTACTGCTCATATTTTGCTTTCAGTGAGTAAGTGTTCAAATCCTTTAATACTTCATTCCCATAAAAATATATTTACCAGGGGTTTTTGTGGCAGCAGTGAGGCTGTGTTTATTATTTCAGGAACACCACACGACTGGCTTTAGAGAAAAGACAAGGCAGGAGCATGGAGTGCTGCAAATCTATCAGAGAACAGCATGTTTTCCACCTGTTGAGGCAGCAACCACAATAACAGATGCACATAATAATTACCTGTACCTCAAAGGCAGCACCAAGTCCTGCACCTTCTGCTCCCCACCTAGCAGACAGCTTGATAACAAATTACAAAAGAGGAGCATTGAGACAGAATAGGTAGTGCTTTGTGAAGAATGAAAAAGCATTTCTTATTAAAAAGAAACTGGAAGGTGGAAGATGAGAAGGAAGGATCTGAGGCACCATGATGCTAAAAGAAGAGAGGAGCTAAGGAACTCCAGGTGTGTACCTTTCTTTTAGAGTGGCAGTTAGGTTTTTGCTAATACCCTTTCCAAAGCTGCTTTCATTTGTACTCTCAACATTAGAGATAATTTCTACTGATAAGTAGGTGCCACACACACTAACTGAAGCCCATTCCTTCCTAGTGATGGTGGTTCTGCAGTGGTAGGGGGGCACAAAGGGTAAGGGCCTCATCTCAAGTGACACCATGAATGACCATGACTCTGTGCCAGTACCATGTTCCTATTCCTCTCTTTGCTTCCTGGCACTGGGGTTGTGCTGGAGCTACACTTACAAAAAACCTTTTGTTTGCAAGTGCCCCAGAGCACCTGGTGTAAGAAGGGCAGGGGGCAGTATGGGGAGCAAGGATCCATTGAGGGTGAAATGTTTCTGCTCCTTCCTGCTAAAGTGCTGAGGCTTGTAAGGGTCTCTTTCTCCTCTTCCTCTGACTACCAAAAGGAAAGCGGTGACATTTGGCTGGGTGAGGAGGACTTGGCCTCTTGAGTGATTTGTACCACGGTAGTTACTTGTTGCACGAAGGAACAGATCCTTCCTAGAAAGGATTTGTAGGGGAAATGATCTCAGGCCCCATTTAATCTTGACAGAAGGAGATGATGAGAAGACTGTGTGCTGAGTTGGAGTTTTCCTTTGAATTCCAATGGTGTTGAAGGCAGCACTAAAAATAGACACACTACCCTTTTTACCCTGGTACAATTCTGTCTCCAGCTCCCCATACAGACAACAAGTCTGCTGGTAGGTATTTAGCAGGAATTAATTTAACCCAGTCTTCTCCTTCTGTACTCTTTTACTCCACTCATCATGATGGATTCCACAGCCATACAAGCATATTTCCTCAATAAAAATGTTCTGAGGAAGACTGCTGATATTAAAAATCCCATTTCTTTCTGAAAATTCTATCCTAGTTATAAATAATCCATAAATGCCCCAAACTATATAGTTCTAAAAAAAACCCACAAAAACCCCAACCAACCAACCAAAAACCTCCTCTCCCCAACCCCCTCCTGTCCAACTTTTTACTCTTTGATTTTGTTTCTACCAGGTTTTGTTTTTGAACTGCACAGCATTTTGTTCCTAGTCTGTTTCACATTTTCTCCAGTATAACTTGCTGGACCGTTTCTCCCTTCCCAGCATCGACTTGTGAACATCAGCTGAGAGGAAGGAAACCTACATCCAGCGTTTCATGGCTATTATCTTAAAGATAGATCTGTAAGAAATTTAAATACAAGGCAGATTGGTATTCAAATAAAATGGGTTTGTTTTTTAAAGCATCTTTTACAGTGAGAGATGCTCAGCCTGTAAGTCCAGCTGGGAAGCAAAGTGGAATTTCACGAATATTAGAGTTCCTGAGCACAGGGGCGCAGCCGCTGCCGTGGCAGGACCCTGCCGGGGGTTCGCTGCTGGCAGAGCTGGCTGTGAGGGGTGACACTGCTCGGGGCAGGGGCTGACCTCACTGGGGCTGCTTTGTAAACAAGCTTAAAGGTACTTGCCTGCTAGTCGAAGCTCCCGCGCTGCGGTGTCTTGGATTACCTTTGTTTGAATAATACCACTCACTTTCCTCCTAAGGTGCCAGCTGCACAACAAATTTCTAGCCTGTCCGGGTGTTCAGTTTATTCAAAGCCTATTTTTAATTCTGTTAATTATAACCCGTACTCCCCTGCCCTGTTTGGACCTGCAGCAGCAGCCGGGGTGAGGCGGCCGCAGGGGCCGAGCTGTGCAGGAGCCGGTGCCCAGGCGGTGCCAGCGGCCGGGACCGCCCGGGGGCGCGGGCGGTGCCGGGACACGGGGCCTGAGGGTGCCGGCATAGGGAGCCTGTGGGTGCCGCCACACGGAGCCTGAGGGCTGCCCCACCAGCCGCGGGTGCCACGGCTGCTCCTGCAGCCCAGGGAGCTGCGGCTCGGCCCAGCTAGGAGCCGTGAGGGGATGGCTGGCCTTAGCCCATCTTGGGGGGCAGCGGGGTCCATCCCTGCTGTGTCCTAGCCTGCCAGGCGGCGGGGGCCGCCCGCGGCCAGACAGGGCGAGCGCGTTCCCGAGCAGAGCCCCCGCATCGTCTGCCCCGGTTCTCCCGGGGTTGGACCCGAATTCAGAACAAAGCGGGCAAGGCGGACTCGGCGCGGCCCCGCCGAGAACCTCCAGGGATCCTCCCGGGGCCCTCCCGACCGGCCGGGGGCGCCGCCCGCGCCGGGCCGACCGCGCCACCTGGCGGCCGCAGCCGGAGCCACGGGCGGGGGCCGGGATGGGATGGGATGCGATGGGATGGGATGCGGTGGGATGGGATGGGATGCGATGCGCACCTTCGCGAGAAAAACTGCGCGCAAGACATCGCAACCTGAAAGTTACATTGTGTGTGTTACTTTGCTGCGTTTACACTATTTTTGCCATCAGAGTAAGCTGCAGATTTCTAGTTGTGCCAATCAGTGTTTTCAAAGCGTGGTAAGTTTGTATCCTGTGAAATGCGTCTAATGTGCACGTATTCTAGTGCTCCCACCGACTCCTCAGCTCTGCCCTTTGCTCTAGCCTGAAAATGGCTGGTTGGCCTCGTTCCTGCTTCCTAGAGGGGGAAGGATAAGAAAAGGCTGGGGGCATGTCTGTAGATAGATGCACTGGGGGGTTTTCCCTGATTTATTCTGAAAGTTTTAATCACTTTGTTAGATTTAATTGGTAATGGAAACATGCATATTAAATTTTGTTTTGGGTCTGAAGCATACTTTTAATTTGGCTATTCCTACTTGCTGAGGTTTTGTTGTATTTGCAGAGCATCCCTGGAGCTAATGAGGAGGTTTCCTTATGCAGGGAACTAAAGCAATGAAGTCTTCCAGTACTGCACTACTGCTGCTCAGGGGTGCCCAATCTACCGGGTTAGTTCAAAGTAAAACCCCCTGAGACATCCTTCTGCGATGGTCAGGTCCTCAGTGCCAAATACTCTGCTTTGTGCTCAGACTCCTATAGTCTAGCCCACAAGGCAGATGTAGGTGTCACCTAAGAGCCTTATACAGGAGGCTGAGTTGCCTGTCCTGAAGGCAGAAATTAACCTTGTCGAGAAGACTGGAGACGGCAAGGAATGTTTTCCCTTGTTGCTGTGCTGTTTTTGAGTAGCCAGCTCACATAGCGGGGAGTATTCATGCCTCTGCATTCCTGAGTTTGGTACTAGGAATACAAACTGCCATCCCCAGCTGGCTTTGGAGCTGGCTTTGTGCTGCAAATGCTTGTCCTCTGGGAACCAAAAGCCAGATGTGCTTCACATAGTTTCCAGGCAGCACTGATCCATCAGATGACAGTAGCTATTGAGTGCTCTTATGGTGGCCCAGAGACACAAAGATGAAAGCCTGATGCCTGTCAACACCTCCCTTGCCATTCCTGTGTGTCTTCAGTTTTCACTTCAGTCCACCTCACAAAAGCAAATGCCACAGAATATGATGTTGCAATGTTAATAACCTTTTATTTTTGAGAAAGAAAATCCCAAGTTTTGTGATTTTGAACTGCCAGAGAAATTCGGGATACGTTGAACTTGTCAAATATTTTCCTGTACCAGCCTTAGCTGGGAACCCACCTTCTTCTTTAGAAGCATTTTCTGCAGCACTTCCTGGATGATTTTTCGTATGGAAGATTAACAATATTTGAATGCCCTCTCAAGGAAATGTGTTTTCATGGAGGAAAAAAGCTCTGATGAACAGCCAAAAGGAAAAGCCTGTAGAGATACCTGGAATAATTTCTTAGAGTGGCTTATGTTGTTTCCCAGCTGCTCTGCCTTTAAAACAGCCTCTTACCCCAACTCAGGAGCTCCACCAATTGTAAAACCAAGAACTAACCAGTGCCAGATTCAAGTCTCAAAATACAAACCCTCTGAGATACAGGGAGTGAAGGGGTAGGGGGCGGGTTCATAAGAAAACTTCTAAGCATTACTGTAGCATAAATAATATGGCATCTTTCACCTCAAATAGCCTAACACTTCATAAAGTGATATGAGCTTCACTAGTTGCTGAAACACAGCTATTTCTGAAGTGGAACCTGATCTCTCTCTTTTTTTCATTTTTTTTTCTTCTAAACTAGCAGACGGCAATGTTTTAAGGTGGAGAGTGAAGGATAGAGTATACAATCAATCATAAATTTAAATCTAGGAAAGCTTTGCAAAATGGACAGATCAAGCAAAATCTATTTTTATTAATAACATGCATCTTGGTGTCTCATAAACTTGTGTCCTAAATTTATAAATGCAGTTCATCTATAAGAGATACAGGCAACTCAAGATTTTGTCCTCTTTGTTTCAGCAATACTCTCTTACAGGCCTTTGGTAGCAGATGCTCTGGTTCCTTTCCTCTCTTCATTCAGTTTAATGTCCAAGTCCCGCAGCTGGCTGAGGAACCCCGAATTCGGGCAGATGTTTCTGTGAGCACTCACCGTCTTCAGAGCATCCACAAGTGTCATGTTTTCATGGATCATTAAAAAGGCAAGCACTAAAGTTGCCGAGCGGCTCACTCCCATGGCACAATGAACGAACACCTTACCTGCACAAACAAAAAGGCACAGCAAGGTGAGTGTGCTTTAGCATTTCTAAGGTGGGAGGGACAAAGGGAGGAGGAAAAAAATAGTAGAAGCAAGTTAAGAAAGCCATATTAACAATTGTGGATCTTCATGGTTTCAGGAAGGTCACCTCTCAGGCAAGGTGGTATTTCATACTGACCTTCTGCAACTAATTTAGGCCTAAGATTGAAATAGTTGAAATTTTCTGTGGAAGGAGAAGCTTTCTGTGACTAAACTTGTCAGTATAATTTTCTGTGGAAAAAAACCCAACTTTTGGCAGAAAAATTTGGCCCAGCCCTGACTGTGATCACTGGTAAGTCCCACAAACTCTGTGGGATAGTCTGTCTGTAAAAATGGAGTTGTAATTTACTATATCTCAGCAGCCCAGTGTGAGCTATAACTGAGGATTTAATAAAGCACTCCAGTGAAAGCAGCAGATTCTGCAGCCAGTCAGAGTCAGAGCAAACTCTGGAACAAATGGAAATTATGATAACTAGGCCATAATCCAAACTCTGCTGACAAAAATTCAGCAGGCTGCAGGTCAGGCTCGTAGTTTTTGACTTAGTTCATTAACTTCTGCTGCTTCTCTAGCTTAATAGACAGGCTGAATAAAGCTCCAATTCTGTGAAGTCCTTGAGCATGTGAAGCATTCGAGCCAGCACCGAAGTGCTGCTTCTCCCACAGGGAGCAGGAGCAGCCTGCAGGGCAGGATCCTCCAGTTGGAGCCCCTGGGAGTGTGTGAGGGGTGGGAGGGATGTGTGGAAGCACGCAGATCCTGCTGATTCCTACAGGATGGGCCCATGGGGCAGCATCTGCAGTGCCATAACCTCTGCCCTTCCCTCTACACTCTGGTCCCAGAGCTTGCCCTTCTTTCCACCATGCTGGGCTGGGGGCAGCCAGTCTTCTGAAGTTCCTGGGGACCTGGCACAGCCACCTTCTGTGCAGCACATGGCATAGGCACCCTTCTCCATCCTCTGCTCAGTGGTTCTGCATGTGCTGCCTTGAACCATATGCTGATTCTGAGCTCTGTTGGTGCCTGTTACTGCAATGAAAAGTCATTTGGCTTGTGTTGAAATTTCCACCCAAAGCTTATTTTTGCTTCTCTCTTACCTCCTGGAGAGTTTAAGGCCTTGCCTATGAAATTGGCAGCATCATAGAAGAAGGTACTTAAATCGAAGGAAGGATCATCAAATGCTTCTACTCCATAGTACTCTATTTGCAGATCTGCATAATATTTGGCTCCCGTGTTGATGCTATATGGTCCATCTGCTGCATTAAGGATATGAGTAATGTTGAGGCTTTGAAGTGTAGTTTTGCTCCTAGCAGCCCACCTGTTGAAAGACATGAAGGGCACATTGGCAACGCTCCTAACATTCTGCAAAAATAGCATGGTTTAAAGTTAGTGCCTTCTCCCACTACGGAAGGATGCAGGAGCTGCATCCTGCTTACAGAGGAGCAAATTTCAAGAAGCACATAGTGCTTTGTGCATGAAAAATGTGATATGGAGGTGTGGAGAGCAGCAGGAGCTTGCACACACTTGCAAGTGGGATACTGTTTGTTAAGCAAATGCCTCCCAGCAGTTAATCCCTGGGAACGTAGCTTACTGTATGAAGTGGTCAAGATTTTCCTTAAATATTTGTTTAGGAACTTTTAGAGCTAATCTCTCATTCATTGTGTACCTAATCTCAAGAGTGAGAAACTCGCACAGATACAGCAACACCTTGTTCCTGGTTTGGATATGAAGTGGATGCATTGTGTTCACCAGCTAGGTGAACCCCACTTCCCACCATAAACTAGGACTGTAGGCATTCTACAAAATTCTGAACCTTAACTGATATATTCATGAGGAGGAGGAGCTATGAAAAATGAGCTAGGTAATCTGCAGTAATCTAATTGGAAGGAAATACCAATAAATATTATTGGTCACAAGAATAAGGTATTTGCATGAAAATTCCTGATTGATATTTTCAATTGTATCATCTTTGAAAGAAGGCTTGGATTTGAAATGTCAAGATCACTGTTAGACAATTCATTTGGGTCTTCCTCCTTCTGGGTGTTAATCTTGCTACCCCTATTTGAGTGTTAGGGCTACTGGCCTCTTGTCTGCTGCCTTAGAGCAGTTTCCAGGCCAGCTAATGCATCTCAGAATTGACATCAGTTTGACATGGTTCTTTGAGGACTTTAGTCAAGAATATAAATAATTTTTACCGTGTCAAATTCATGGTGGCTCAAAGAATATAAAAAACCAAGTCAGACACACTATGAGTAAGTCACCATTTTGCATGCCATGTTTTTCTAGACATCCAGACTCTTTACATCATCAGTTTTGGAAGCCCCTATCACAAAAACATTCCTGAAGACCCAAAAGCTGCTCCCCAGTGTACCACACCCTTTCATCCTCCTCCTCCTTCCAGGGACTGATAACAGCTTAACAATAGGACCGTAAGTTCTTACGCATCTCCCAGGTAGATATTTGGCCAGACTTGGTCCACATGGTTATCAGAGCCTCCTCTGAGCCACAGGAGCTGCTGGAGATCTGATAGTGCTGGTGTTTCATAGGAAGTGCTGCTAGTCAGAGATGAAGAGTTTCTGGTGTGAAGCATCTTGCTGCTCCCTTGCATGCACTCAGGCTGTATCAGAGACAGCTTTTCTGAAATGAATTGAAAGGAAATTTTCGTACAGAAATACTATTCCCTAGAAAGTAGACCTGTTCATTACCCTTCAAATAGGATTGCATTATTAGAACTAGTCTGTGCAGCAGGGCCTCCAGGTGTTGCTAAAAGCATCCAGAGAGCAGGACTGACTCAGGGGTAGGACTCTACAGGCATGTAATTTCTCCCCTGAGAAAGCACCATAAGATAATGTGATTTAATTTCTTGTCAAGTAACACTGTTGGTAAAGAACATCTGCACCACCTGAATGCAGACTGGATGACCCTTGTAGGCAGAGGTATCATTCCTCTTTTTGTTGAAGAGCTACCAGAGTATTTATGCACACTTAATTCTGATCAGTTAAAACCAGAAGTTTTTGAATGCATCATTAAACTGACTTATACTTACAAAGCTGCTAGGGCCAAGGTGAAAATCTTATGATGTGTATGTGAGAGCCATCTGTATGGCATATGAGTACTCATATATAAATAGTGTGTACATACAGTTTTATTTCATTTATAGTGATGTGTTTAAACACACCTACCTGTATAAATACATGTATACATACATGTATACATATCACATGCATATATAAACATATATAGATACATGTCTGTGTGTATAGAAAGAGAAATTGAGAGGATTTAAACTAGTTTGTTCTCTTTCAGTTGAATATCCCTGGACACTTAGCTATACTGGTATTCTTGCGCTTGTGTCAATCTCTCCTCTGGGAGCTGTTCCACTTTGTATAAATAATGTGATAGCTACTTCCCTCCAGAGAGGGGCCATTTCTCTTGTCTGAGGGACAGGATACTTACCCAGGATGTGAGAAAAAAGAGTGTTTTTGAAATTATAGAGCTAAAAGTTCTGGTAGTTGTTGTGCTGTTGAGAATCCCATCTAGGGCTCCCTCACAGTCTGTGAGATCACAGACCTGTGAACCCTCACAAATCATGCCGTGGAATATGGGCAGCCCTTTTGCAATGCTGTTTGCTGGTTTAGACTCAGCAAGCCCAGGCCAGATGGTTCAGCTGGAAGCAAAGCTCAGTCAAGAGCAAGACTTCCAAGCAGTCCCTTCTCTGGGACTTTAGGAACATCTCTCCTGCCTGGATCTCATTATCCTGAGTTACTGTTCTTGCCTTCTGAAAATATTCATGAGCTTTGTTTGGTTGCTTGTTCTTACTAGAGTCATAATCAGAGTGGAAGGCACACTAAGACTCCTCCCAAAGTAGGGTAAATGGTGTTTATTCTGATATGACATCAGCTTTCACTCTAATGCCTGAATTCCTAAATCTAAACTTTGGGTTTATTTTCTCAGCAATTTTAGAAAACAAGTGCAGATGGGACCTTCAGAAGTCATCTGGTCTGTCCCCTGCCCCACAGCAGCAGCAGCCATATGGATGTTGCTCCTAAAACAACAACTTTGTTCCACATATGTTATTTTTAACAGTGTAAGCTGATTTGGGGAATAAGCAGAAAACAAGAGAGAATATATTTTTGCTTGCACAAAAAGAAGCAGAGTTGATGTGAAGCATATTACTGAACATACATATATATTTCTGTGACCTCAGTCTAAATTTGCTTCCTTTGCCCCTTCCTCCCTCCTCCTCCCCACAAATGTTAAGTACAGTTATAGCTTTTTGTATGTTCCAATAAGAAAGAGGTCTCCCTAGGGTAACTACTTAATAAGCAAGATATGAAAAGCACAATAAAAATGATGGGAGACATAGAAAAAAAATGACTGGTTTTACTTTTAATGGTGGAGGAAAAGAACTGCAGGGAAGTAGAGAGAAATATAGAGATAAAAGCCTACGAATTTTTCAGGTCAGATAATATAAGATCAAGAGCTCTGCTAAAGGAGTATGTTGTGCAATCCTAGCCCAGATTAGCATGAAGAATAGCACAGAAACAGATACTGTGCATTGCCCTACAGGTTTTACTGCCTTGTGAAAGTCGTGCACTGTGCTCAAGAGCTACTGCCAGCATCTTCATGATGACCTGTTTGTACTTTCACCGACACAGAACGTTAAGCTGAAGTAATAAAAGAAAATCAAGAATAAGATAATACAACTTCTCCATCAGGAGATTCATAAGACCACAGGCTCATTTTCCAGGAGTGTGGCTGACTCTGAGTTGCTGCAAATGCTTAAGGGCTGAAGTTGTGGAGCAGATGTGTACCAAACTTTCACTTCTCCTAGACCCTGTTGCTTTAAACTTCTATTGTAGCCTCTCAGTTAGTTACAGTAATGGAGTTGATGAGCAAAGAGAATTAGATTGTGTGGTCTCTTGTTCAAGACCTGACTTAGTGGAACTTCTCCCAGAATTGAGTAATTTTAGTGCCAGTGACACTTCATGGGTGACTCTGGCCTTTGAAGCCAGGGAATTGCTTTGCAACAGAGCTCCCTTTCATAGAGCAATCCTCTTTCCAAAAAGTGTGCCAACATTGTTTTGTTCACATGCCTAATGTCAGACAAGTGAGCTCCTTGTGTCAACACAAGAATGGCTCCTCCCAAGAACACTGCTCCTGCCTGCACTGCACTGGCCTTGAAGCTGGATTGCTCTGCAGGGCCATCAGGGTAGGCTTGGAAATAGCTATAGCAGATGATGGGACTAATGAGGAAAGCAACATGAATTTTTTAATTGAAGGCCAGGGACTTTGGTGAAGGTTTCCCCCCACCTTCTACTTTAAGATAGTGCAGAGGTAGCAAAAGTGCTGCCACTGATTACATTTCTCTAAGCTTGTCCCTCTGGGTGGCTCCCAGAAGCTGCTCTAGTTGGAAGCAGTCAGTGACAGCAGGAGGGCAGGAATCTCTGTACCTGAGGGAAAAATTTTTGCCTTACAAGGTCACTAACATTTTCTGCAGAGATCTAGACTACACAAGTTGGATAGGATTACTTTTCTTTTAAACTATAGCCATCTCATTAGCTTCTTTCTATCTATCTATCTTTCTCTCCTATTTTTTTTCTGCTTAAAGTAAACCAACGGAAACAAAAAAATTCAACCTATGGGAGACACTTGAGGCTGGAGAGAGATTTTAATGGAAATCCACAAAATACAAGGTAGCACATAAGCTGTAAAACTGTCTTGTCATTCTGCATCATTTCCCAAACACCTGGAGCATTTGGGTACACCCCAAATGGCCAGGACCAGCTTGGATTCCTGTCTGGGCTGTGGAGCCAGTGGTGTGGTCCAGGAGTTGCCCTGGAGGTCCAGGCTGGAGATGTCTATGGGTGACCTTGCCTGGCTGCAGGGAGCAGCCAGGAGGGGCTGTGAATGACTTCTTGCTGTTTGCATGCAGCTGGGTGCAGCTCCTGAGGGACCCAGTCATGCCAGAACCTTGTCTACGACAACCTAGTAGAGCTTTGTATCTCCACAGTATTGTCCAGTCACTTGAATACTATAGTCTGCAAAGCTTGTTTGGTTTTTGGTTTGTTGGGGTTGTTGGGTTTTTTCCTTTCTCTCTCTATGGTGGAAACAATTGACATTTTCTATTGAACATCTCTGGAAAAAAAAAAAGAAAAGAAAAATCCCGCACAAATCCCAAGTGATTTGAATTAGCTACAGCATTTAACAGATTTTTGTTGCATTTGCAGATTCCAGTGGAAAAAAACTCAGCAAAGTTTTGGGGATAAAAACACAAACACTCCAATATTGTAGTATTGTATTGTATATGAAATAGTTAATTTTATTATTTCAAAAAATTTACCATTTCCATTTTTCTATTCAGTTACTTTGTTTTGGAATTTGTTCTCCTGCATTGCATAAAATATTTTAAAACATTAAAACAAGATGAAATGGCTTGTTCCTGGTTGAGAAAAATATGTTTTATTTAACTAAAAATGACCACAAACTGAGTAGCCATCTATTTGCCTAGCTCAAATTTTCACTTCTGTAGCAGGGCCTCCTGCCATTTTGCCATGGTTCTTCCCTTGTCTCCTCAAGATGGAACTGAGCTGTAGAGAGATTAAATGGATGTCTGGAGTCCCAAGAGGAGTCTGACAGGGCATCAGTTGGACTCCCATCATCTTTCCTCTTTCCCTTTTGCTAGCACCTTCCTGGATGGCAGAGCTCTGCTGTGGTTATGCTGATAGCCTGGATGGGGACAGGTGTCTTTCAGCAGCATGAGATTATTGAGAGCCTCAGGCACAGTTGTGGTTACTACAATAGCACAAACACTACCTAACAATAACATGATACAGAAAGCTCCTGCAGCCAAATATCCTAAATTCCCTGTATCAAAAACCTGACAAACTAAATAGTTCAAAATTCCAAAGCATGGAGTCAGAATATAATTCGTGTGGAAGGGAAAAAAATTTAAAAGTGGCATATTGAGGCATTTGAAAATGCTGTCTACTCTGGTTTTTTCTTCTATTTTCTCTTAGCAAGCATCTCTGCACTCATCTTTTACATTTCTTGCTCTTTTCTCTCAAGTAGTGTGTAACACTATGGCTCTTTGTTCTCCTGATGGAAAATTCCAGATGGAGAGAAGTATGTTTCACAAAGAAATGATCATGGTAGTGGAATTAATCTTTTAGATACTATAATGTGAAATATGATCTTCCTTTTTGTTAAGAAGACCCAGTCTGTGTCTCTACACTTTGGTCAGAATCTGACACTAAGAGAACCCAGGAGTCTCTTGAGGTAGAGCTGAAAGCTTCGTGTGCAGAAACAGGCACATTTAAAAGCAATAGCAAAGTTAAAACAGACAGATGGGAACCTAGCAGGCAACCGAGAAGGGAACTCTCTGTTTTCCTTGCAAGCCTACAGGGGCTTGTTTGCAGGAATTAGAATCTCTCACCAGCGTTTCACTGCAGCTCTAATACCAAGTGGTATTGAAAATGAGAAGCAGGTTATGGCTGATGGTTTAAATGAGGTACCTATGGGAATTTAGAAATGAGATCCTGGACTTGTCTTGGTGTAGACTGTGCACATGGCAGAGCAATATTGCTTTCTTGGCTGACTGCGTCATATATTATGGCCTTTTATTTTGCCC